GCTTATGACGTAAGTAATTTATTTTTTCATCTGTTTTGTCATCCAGTCAAATAATTATTATAAAAGGAAATTGAGGTTCGAGTTATATTACGTTTGGTGTATTGTATTGCCATAGGGAATTGTTGTAAGTAACCTAGCGTCAAAAAATGTCAGAAAATAATTGAAAGGCATGCAATATTCTTCATTTTGTCCTTGGATTCGAGTTATATTAGAACAATGATTGATGATACTGTTTTACTACTTTCAGAATGAGATAGCAATGGATGAGGTCCAACCATCTCATTCTCGTCAAAGCAAGACTGAATACATGGACCTAACAGAGGTAACTGCATTTGAAAGCAAGCGCAAAGAGGAGGTGACATTCGGTATCCCACAGGTGGAACGTTCATCCCTAGGAACTGATTACGCGCCTCTTCATCCGTCAACACGCTCTTGGGAAATTCCACGAAATAGTGTCACCATAGAAAAGGTTATCGGTAAAGGTGCCTTTGGTCAGGTTGCCAAAGGAACCGCGATAGATGTTCGGGGGAGGCCAGGGAACACTCCAGTTGCTGTTAAAATGCTTAAAGGTAATTCACACCCCTCTTTTGGAGCTGAATAAGATTAATGCTAATAATGAATGTGTGTTTTTATTGACGATTCATGAGTAGTTAAACATTCTAACATTTTAAAATAAGTCATTAATCATTAGTGAGAGACAATAAGTAACAAAGGAAAATTATAAAAGTTGGAACATTATTCAAAAACTTATGAATATGAAGCAGTGGTCATCTCAATGAATAGCAACGCTTGTATCACTTATATTTTTTCGTTTATTTTTAGCTTCTGCTCCTGAGTCCGACAGAAGCGATCTGTTATCTGAACTCGAACTAATGAAGACGCTGAAACCTCATCCACACGTCATACGACTACTGGGATGTGTTACTGAAACTGGTAAAACATATGATTAATGATGAACGTACTTTAACGTACATCTCAAGACATCTCAAGTTAACAGTTAATGTAAAACTATTTCAACAATAAGTTTCAGTTTCTAAATTATTGCTGGTATTACAGAAAATCCCGTATAGTGTAAACGTTACTTGACTACTTGACTTATTTTCTAGAGCCCTTATTGGTTTTGATCGAGTATGTCGCGTATGGAGATCTCTTGGGTTACTTGAGAAAGAGCCGAGGACTCAATGACACTTATTTCAAAGACCCAGATATCAAGCCTCGAACAAATCTGACGTCAGAGCAACTGATGAAGTTTGCCTGGCAAATTGCTGATGGAATGAGTTACTTGTCATCAAGATCTGTAAGTCAAAGGATCTGAGTGCAATTAGATATGAATTGTGAAAGACTAGGAAATACTATGAAAAACGTCATCGACATTGAGTTATTAAGATACCTGTACAAGATAAGCAGAAGGCCGTGCCAACTATACTAATTGAAACATTTGCACGAGTATTGATTAATAAATGAATTAATTAATTACTGAGGAATTAATGTGCCAGTGGTCCAGAAGATGGGTCGAAATGGGTGAATTTAGCCCTGAATTCAATTAGATCCCTCTTAATGATTGGTTAACTATTTCTTACAGATCATTCACCGAGATCTTGCAGCTCGTAACGTGTTGGTTGGGGAAAGAGAAACTTGTAAAGTGACTGACTTTGGAATGGCCAGGAATGTCCAACAGGAAAACATTTATGAAAGAAAGACAAGGGTATCTGACTAGAGTTCGGAACTAATAAGAATAACTAACTAAAAGATAAAGGGAATCTAAAAACAAGGATTTACATTCTATTATACATCTTCAATGTCTCACATTAAGGCAGCCACACGGATTTCGGGCATTTCGAACTACCCTTGCATTCTAAAACCTACTTGTTTTGCCTAATAATTAGTACTGTAACCATTCTCTTTAACACACGTCCTACGAAAGTAGCACAGGAAAAAATAACGGATTCCCATTTTTGGATATTTTAGGGTATTTAAAGAATACCCACAAAAATCCCAAATTTGGAACAGTGAGACAAGTCCCAAGTCTGGGAACGTAGTTGGGAATTCCCCGGTTGGGACTTGTCTCACTTTGCCAAATTTGGGATTTTTATGGGTATTCTTTAAATACCCTAAAATATCCAAAAATGGGAATACGTTATTTTTTCCTGTGTAGATGAGGCTCCTCAAACTTTTATTCTACTTAAAAATCTTAATCTAAAAAATAATTTTAAAGATGTCTTTTTTACTCGTTCTGGGGCTCATCATTTACCACCAGGGACGTCTGCCAGTCAAGTGGACTGCATATGAAGCGTTGATGTTTAACACTTATACCACCAAAAGTGACGTGTGAGTAAATATAATAGAAATTGTGTGGAAATACAGCTTATGATGTTGAATATTATTTAGTAGTTCTTGCTTTGCTTATTTTACAAATCAACGCTTCCGCTTTATTTGCAGTTGGAGCTATGGCGTTGTTCTTTATGAGATTTTCACTGTAGGTAAGTTGTGGTTTTCTCCTTAATTAACGATAATGGCCTTCGTCGTGCAAGTTTCTTTTGCAATAGGTTCTGGAGACGTAGTTTGTTTGAATTCCTGTATTTTCAGGTGGTTCTCCATATCCGCGAATGGATGGCAAGAAAATTGCTAGCTTACTTCAACAAGAATACAGGATGCCAAAGCCACAACACGTGGATGACAAATTGTAATAGTATCTATTTTACTTAATCACAGTTTGAAATTGTATCCTATTTGTAGTTGTATTTGTTTTTTCGTACAAACAGTAGTCATAATAGATATTACCAGAGGTGATGATCAGTTATGAGATTAAAAGAATCTTTGACCTCTTTTAAGCCCCTGGCAAAATGGGTCTCCCAAGACCTAAACCGGAAAAATATTTGCAAAAAATTGCGTTACTTCCGATTGCTCCCAAATTTGGCACAAAGGAAGTTAATAGATTTAGCCAATCACCTGCCTAGTTCCAGCCCCTGTGGACTTTTGACCGTGACACAATGAGCTTTCCAAAACTTTGAATTTTATGGCGAGTCGCGGGGAATTTTTGTGAGCCGGTTTTGCGAAGAATGCAAGCTTGAATCGACGAATGTCAACCAAATACAAGTCAAGCAAACTATTCTGAAAGATTTTGGAGGATAACAAGCAAAATAAACGCGAAAATTGAAGTAAGGAAACACTTAGAATCTGTGCATGCAAATCGCCGATCGCCGAACTCTGTGCCACATGTTCTTGAAACGGCGACGATTTCCTTCCCGTTTTGCCTTCGCTTCGCTTTTCGCCGTCAAATTCTTGCTTATTTTGATGAATTCTATCAGCAAATTCATGTCTGCTTGTCTCTAACTCGATATTTCTTTGGGAATCAAGGAATCAAAGCGTCTTAGTGAAGTAAACATGTGGTCACGAGGTGACGCCAAAGGAATTTATGCTAATTATGATAATCTAATTAGCATAATCATGAGAGCGTGCAGAAAAAAATTTGTAGAAAATTTCTAGTCGCTCCATGTTTTAGAACGATTTTAGTTTTTTTTTGCTTAGATATTGATGAAAAAACTTTCTTACTACCATATCACCCAAAATAAAGAAGTTTCCTAGCTGAATGACATTCTTTAAAATTTTAAAAAATTTTTATGAAAAATATGCTTGTTAAATTTTTTGTGGCGGAATATTATGGGTTTCCTACGACCGAAATATTTTTTTTTCGAAAGGGTATTCTTTTCCCTTTCCAATGAGGTATAGCTTGATATTGAACTGTAAATAACACCGGAGATATGATTTTTTTAAAGTTACATGGCAAAATACATTAAAATAATTTAGGGAAGACGTTGAGTTTTTTAGACAGAAAATTTGGGAGAAAAGACAAATCGAGATGAGACGATTTTATTCTCTGTTCTCAGGTATCAAATCATGACGAAATGTTGGCAAAATGAGCCAGAAGCGAGACCATCATTCACCGCTTTGACCAAACAGTTAAGGGACATGGAAAACCAGCATAAGGTGGGTTTGTTGGTACCTTGTGACATAAAAAGTAATTCAGCGACATTAACAATGACAACAATTTCTCGGATGTAAGGCTCACCATTTCCTCAAACGTACACTATAACTAGGGTAGAGTTTTCTTAGCCAAGCTGTCAGGTACTAGGGTGGCCTATTCTAAATAAGGAGTTTTAGTGCCTTCTTCGATTTCTCATTTACAGTTTATATATGTCCTAATTAAATTTATTCTTGGTTTAAATTTCATGTCCCTTTGTGTTTGGGTATACTAATGTATGGTTATTAGATTGAAACAAAAGGAAATAAAACTTAATTAAGCCAAGGATAAAATTGAAGCACAACAAATACATTATGCATATTAACCCAGCAACGTACCTTTTTAAATGCTTTCCAAAACTATGAATTTAATGGTAAACTTCCAGAAACGTTTACCATCATATATATTCTTGGATCTCGTTTATTTTTTCCCATGCCTTCGGCCATTTCCCATTTTTTTTTTTTTACCGACATATCCCTACTCGCGATATTGGGGAGCTTAAGCATAGGCGTTTTCGAGCGACGCTCGTCAACCGGAAGTGTACTTTTTGCCTTTTTTGGCATGGTTTTGTTCACATTTGTGAGCAACTTGTCTCTATAAGAGTAAAGAAACCCAGCGTCAAAGTCGTAATAAATATCTTCAAGAGCCCCAGAAGGTGTTGTATGGTGAAATACCTTTGTGATCTGTAGCGTTAATTTGATTAGAATTCTGATTATACTAAGCTGGTGATATAAAGAATAGTACTATTAACGAGCTTATAGGCTTTTTAAGCAAAAGGGGATCCCGTTATAAGACCGTACATGGTGCATGGAATTTAACGAAAAAGAGAAAACAAGGAGCAGGGAAAATAGTCACCTGTTTTGGTTAACAGGGTTCATGGCCGAAAATTTAATTGAATGTTATTTATCCACAGAAGCTGATCAACATGCACATTTATGACAATCAGTTGTACGCAAAAGTCGAGGACTTGAACGTCTGAATTCGTTACCGTATATGCGGTATATAAATACTGTTAGTAAATTTTTATTTACGGCTATGATCGTTTACTTTTTCCGAGCAAGTGGAAGAATATGTCTTCTGCTTGTACGTATTGACATATGCATTGTCTGTTTGTACTTTTAAGTCTTTCTTTCTCTAAGGTTTTATTGTAAACCTCTAACGATTTTTGGTAAATTAATACTCTCATCAGTGTTACGGATATTTGCCATTGCTGTACAGGGAGTGGTAGTTTACGTACGTAGTAAAACAGTTACTAGAAGATGTTTCTGGTTACAAAGTGTTTAAAAAAATGGGGAAATTTGAACAGCCTGAAATAAGCTCTTCATGACATTATGAGATATGACGTCAATAAAAATGACCGCAATCTTAATTCCCTTCTTGGATTTTGCTAAATAGCGTACTTTTAACTAATATCGCTACTCCTTCATACATATCAAAGTACGTCTTACACAGAAAATTTTTAAAAAAAGCCGCCTTGCATCTATCCATTGTAGAATAATTGGCAACGCCGTTTTAGATTGGCTCAAATACCTCCGGAAGTCAATTGCAGAGCAAAGGTATTGAAAGAACAAGGGAAAGTAGAAGGCGCAGTAGTTCAGCTGTTTTGACAGAGCAGAGCTGTGGAAGAGGCAAATTAGATTTGGCTCTCGTACGATATTAACTGAGGAAATATGCCGATCTAGGAGTTTACTTTCCACCGAGGCTGAATTCTCCCTCCTTGATCTGCATGATTCTTCTTACCATACGTGGCCGCATCCAAGTATTACTAAGTGTTTTATCGGTAAATTTAACGTCTACTGATATTTTCAGTGAATTTTTAGTTAAAGAAGCTAATGTTCGTTTTGTGAAGTAAGGACGCCTATTGTGTAACTTTTAGTTCTAGAATGCATATTAGTTATTTTCTTGTAAGTCGAATAGCATATTATGTTGTTATCAATTCGAGTCTCCTTGTTTTTTTCTTTCTTTTTATTTTTTTATGCAACCACTGAAATAAAAAAAGTGATTAAAAAATACGATAGTAACCAGCTCGATGATTTAAAATAAAATAACTGTCTCTGTAATCATAATTTGTTTATCAGTGCGACGACTAATGACGAGTCTTATAAAAGTAGGTCACCGTACATTTTAAACAGTTATAAAAGGAGCCGACGAATTTATAGGGATTTATATATTTCCTTTCAATGTCTATTGCCTCTTTTAGGATATTTTCTTTTTATTATTAGTATTAAACATCATATTATATTTTTTGCTCTTAAATGTATGCAAAGTTATGTTGTCCCCAAAGTTCAAACAGCTGTTCTTGTGGAAGAGTAACATGAGGTGTACGTTGTCTACCGCCATGCCTCAACCGCCCTCAAGAACCCTTCGGATAACTTGATGAAGTCGTGGATATCGCGCTCATATATAGCGACCTTTTGTACAGCTCTACGATGCGCCATTCTCTGTTAAATAATTTATAACTCTATCTTTCCTTCTCTACCTAGCTAGTGTACGAACAGTGTGTGTTTATAAAACATCGTGTGAATCCCAGTAACGTTTTGACGTTTTCCTGTGCATTTATGAAGCAGTCCACAGCCGAGTACTGTGCTAGACAACCGTTAAGGTTGTAAGCTCTCTTGACTCGCGCGGTAATTCATGGGTGGTGATGCGGGGCGATGCATGCGTGGTGTTCCCCTTGTCTAGTCCCTGTACGGCGTTTTCCCAGTCCCTCTCGGTCAATTCACTTCGGTGACGTATCTGAGGCGAACGGGCGGAAAACGCCGAGACAAAAACAGAATGCGGATGCGTGCGTTGCTTTTTGAAAAAGATGTTGTCGATAGTGTTGTAAACAGCAGGAAATTATGGTTTTTTAAAAACCCGTGTGGATATTGCGCGATCGACTTTTGCCGACCGGCTATGAAAAGTCATCAGAATGCTGTTCATAGTCCTGAGGGGATTGATTCTGCTCCTTTAATCTCATCATGCCAACTGAGCTGTCGGAGTTTGCCGCTCTTAGCCTATTTGAACGACCGCGAATTTTCAAAGTAAAAGCAATACTTTTAGTGACCCTCTGTCAGTAGTAAACTTACAGTCAGAGCAAATCTTGAATAATCGGAAAAACATACTTTTAAATAAACTTCATTAGCTGCGTATCGAAAAGTGCCCAAAAACTGAACCTTAAAGCAAAAATCCTACAAAATTCGCCGACATTCACAGAAGTGATGCGTGAATCAATGGGAAAAGCATTAAATTCAACTCGGATGCTGTTTCCCCCCTTTTTTTTCGTTTAGCGTCCAATGCATTTCCTAGTATTGGGTTGGTCAGTCCGATTGAAAAAAAAAAACTAAAAAAAATCACCAAAAGTCTCGGAATAGGAGGCCCTGGTACCCCGGGACGACGTTAAGAGTTAACATTCACATATTTGGATTAACAAAATGCACAATATACTGTAAAATTTGTTCATGTTTTTGTTCTTGTTTGTCTCCATGCTGTTACTATGTTCATTTTTCAGATTAAGGAATTATTTCAAGTGAACAATGGTTTAGCTACGTCGTTACTTTCCTTTTTCCTTTCTTTTTTTTTAAATGCCAAAAATTTGGGTCGGTCGGACGACGCTAGACGGAGGAAAGAAAGAGGATGGCCTTGTCTCAGGATCGTGTTTTCAGCTAATGTTATCAATGAAAGAACACACAACAACAGACAGAGAAATTATTTCGCGAAAAATTTTTATTTGAAAACCCAAATATTGATCCCTAAAAGCAATTCGCGTAACACAAACTTGGCTCGAGGATCCGTTCAATGAGCAAGTAAAATCGGCTGAGTACATGGCAAAAATTATTCAACACAAATCTCAAATCAGGGCGCTCACGCCAATCTCAAAATGTATAAAACGTCTAAGATGAAATATTTACAAATACATAAATTTCCAATTTGAAAACGTAATTTTATTGACTATGGGGTACAAAATGTACCTGAAAATTCTTCAAAAACTTCGCTGCTTGGTTGCGTTTCAAAACAGGCCAAGCGTTCCGATCGGCCGTGATGAAAATTTTGTGAATTTCGAATTTCTCGAACGACGATTTTGTAAAGAAAAGCCTTCCTTTTTCCGTTAAAAGAAAACTAAGCATTCTTTTGAACTTTTCCTTCCCATCTGTGTGTTTAAGCGGTGTATTTTTAACCTTGAAATGCGAAACACTGGTCTTGTAAACCCACCGCATGAGCTGCCTTACTTTTGAAGATTTTGCCTGGGCCTCACATTTTCGCTTAGACTACGCTATGGCCGCGCGAGATAATAAGGCCGAGGGAATAGGCAAGTGTTTCCCCTAGTCACCCTCCCCCACCCACGTTGACCTAATTTCTATTACAAAACCACATCCGGAGTAACTTTGAACATTACTGAATCATCGAAAGACAGGATTTACAAAGCTTGGTTCGCACTATATATAGGGCACGCGTAAAAAAAGTGCCAATGGAGAGAACGTTCTAGTACAATGTACATACATTATCTTACGCTTTATTTTCTTATTAATAATCGAGCTAACCGCAGCAACAATTTTGAAACTCAGTATGGAACAAGAAAAACTTGACAAAAACAGTTTAAACCCAACTTTCCGTTAGCCTTCAGCAACTAATGAATAGTATTACTTGCAGTAGACCATGATAAGCACATAATTAGTTGAAGCGTATTTTTATTTGCTATAGTAAATCACGCAATATAAACTTGGACATATTTATCCAGCCACATCAAAAATATCGGTAACTTGAAGACTATAGCGGCTCAGGTAAGGTCTTCATTTGTAGCAGTTGCAATAACGCTTGGAGCAAGGCCTCAATTGTAAACGAGCAGGCATATTAGTGAATGTTGAAAATAATGAAGTTTGCTAAATACAAAAAGGAATCCACAGTGAACCATTAGTCTTGCAAATATCGATACATGACTGACCTAAAAATATTCATGTAATGACAGCCATTATATGCTCTCGCAATGTATCACAAAGGATGAGCCCCATATTTGTCCAATGAGTAAAAATAATAAATAATCTAAAATAGGTGGCCTTGAATAGGGCGTGAATGGTGCTTTTTATTCCCGGTACGGGCGTGCAGTGCTCAAAAGGGCTCAGAACCGATCAATTTCATGCATATAAACAAAAATTGTACGATTTGAATAACCAATGACTCATGACTGAAAATGAAGCAATGTGATATCCTTATAATGGGGCTTCTTGCTATTTCCCTAGTACTTTTTCCAAGGGCAGGTAAGATATTTGAAACAATGTAATGCATCTCATGATCACTCCCGGGGATCACTTAACTGTGTAAATTGAGGATTCGAGGATAGATTATGTTGGTTTCAGAACGATCCCAGCTGAAGAATTATCGCTTTGTTTCTTTAGCGTGTAAATTGTCAAGTCAACAAGTAACAAGTGTACTAATCAGTGCATTCGAATTGGTACCTTACAAAAACGAGGAAAGGGGAGCCGGCAACGAGCACGAGGAACAGGAAAATGAAAGTTGGGATCAAAATCTAACTTGAACACTTGCCCTGTCAGTAACTTCATTTTCAATGATCTGCTTTGTTCCCTTGTTTAGTAACTCGAAGTAAACCCGTAACGGCGTGTCGTGTTTTTTGTTTGTTTATTTTTCTGAACCAAATTTCTCCAAACTGGCCGAGGATTTGTTCTTGAAAAATATAGTCATTTTGCGTCTTTGATGAGACGACACTTTTTCTACGTTTTGAGTGGAGTAAGGTGCCTTTGAGTGACATTGAAATAATTTTGTCAAACTTCGAATGCTCTTCATTCACTTCATTTTGAGTTATCCCAGTCTTAGCGTTTCTTTAGACTCTTAATTGTATCATCTATTTTTGCGTCAGTCTTCAATCACCGTCCATGTCCGAAGGTCCACTCATCTCCTGTTCATGATTTCATGATGCACAGTTTCATAGTCCGGAAGGCTTCGCCCGAAGGGTACCTCTTTCAAGCATCAGGTGCATCAAAGGGT